GGCACAATAGATTTGTGGAACCTCTTCTATAGAAGAGGTTAGAACTGGCAGGAACTCACCCCTGCGCGAGCCAGGCACGGACCGAATTTGCTTCCAACAGTGTCGGTTGTGCTCTTGGTCATCTCATCCTTCTGTACTTCCAGGTGCTGCCAATGTCGGAAGGAAGAGCAAGCTGTTAGACAACGTCCTCCTTTCATCCTGATTAGAAGTGATCTTAATGAAATCTACCAAAAAGTAGTGGTGGTTTTAGGTGTAGTGTCTGCTTACTTCTGTCTTCTGGGTTAAGGGAGCTTTCAATGGCAATAAAGTAAAAGCATCATCCATTCTTGTCCTTTTATGATTTCAACGCCTAAAAATGATCAAGCCTCAATCACATCAAATGTCCACATGACCAACAGCCTCCTCTGTCTTGTAAGCCGAGCATCAACCCTGGGACATAGGAAGACTGTCGCGCATAATCTCACCTGGCAGTGAGATTATGCTCTCGCGGCTTCTCACTGGAGTGCAACAGCCGTGCTGTTGCCACTTCTAGAAGGACATGGGTAGTCCTCAATTTACAACCATTCATTTAGTGAAGTTACGACGGCATTGGGAAAAAAGGATGTTTTTCACACCATTGCACCTCCCCATGGTCAGTGTTCAAAATCTGAGCCTCGGCAAGGATTTCATTCTGGCAGATGACCTTTTAGATACAATGAAAATGAGAAATACTAACGACAGTTGCGGTGTCCCGGGCTCACATGATTCCCTTTTGACACTTTCTGACCAGCAAAGTCAACGGGAGAAGCCATATTAATTTAACCGCCGTGTAACTAACTTTACAACTGCAGTGTGTTCACTTAACAAGTGTGGCAAGAAAGGTCGTAAAATGGGTGGGGGACTCCCTTAACAACCATCTTGCCTGGCAACGGGCACTCTGGGGACTACTTTATGAGGACTACTTCAACAACGTTGTAACAAGGGAACGACACCAACCTATGTCAAATATCTGCTCTACATCTTGGCTTTGAAAAGCTGTTCAAAGCAGTTCTTCTAGGCCAGTGGCTGGAGAATTCTGGGAGTTGAAGTCCACAAGTCTTAAAGTTGCCAAGTTTGGGAACCACTGTTCTAGGCCCATGATGGCAAACCTATGGCATATGTGCCAGAGGTGGCATGCAGAGTCCTCTCTGTGGGCATGTGCACCATCGCCAGCTGTTCTTCTGGTACCAGGAGCACACATGCGTGCTGGCCAGCTGGTCTTTGTCGGTGCCAGAGGGCCAGAAAACAGCCCCCAAAGTGCCCAAAAAACAGGCCATTTTTCAGGCCGTTTTGGGGGACATTTTCAGGCCATTTTTTGGGTCACCATCACTGTTCTAGACATTTGGATCAGAAAATGGCAGAGGGTTGTTAAGAAGGAAGGTTTCTAGCTTTGGGAAAGCCACACTAGCAATGGAGTTCCCAGTCCCAATTAGAGTTATTAATAAAGGACTATCTGTGTTTAAATGTTCTTTAAACATTTGGATCCTGTTGCTGTGATATTTCACCCACATACTTTTCTTAACTGGGAGCATTTAGAAGCAAGATAACCAGAGAGCCAAATTATCTCCAGAGACTTCCAGTTCCACAAAAGTATTTTTGGATTTGGACCTGCTTTCAGATGTCAGAACAGATCATCCAAACTCTGGGAAACAGTTGAACGATGTACCAGATTGGGAGGTGTTTGTTTAATCCCAGACTAAACAAGGTCTAAACAAACTAAACTTAATCCTTTGGGGTTAGTTGATTGAGTCAATTGACACAATTTTCTTCTCCCTCTAATCCAGTTAAGGCCAGTGAGTTCCCCCATACCTTTGATGGGTGGCTTTTGACCAATTGTTTTTTGGAAGAAAGATGTTGGTTTAGCTTTTTTCTTTTGTTTTAAAAACCCTGCCATCTCTTGCCGAGGTGGCGCAGTGGTTAAATACAGCACTGCAGGCTACTTCAGCTGACTGCAGTTCTGCAGTTCAGCTGTTCAAATCTCACCGGCTCAGGGTTGATTCAGCTTTCCATCCTTCCGAGGTGGGTAAAATGAGGACCCGGATTGTTGTTGGGGGCAATATGCTGACTCTGTAAACCGCTTAGAGAGGGCTGAAAGCGCTATGAAGCGGTATATAAGTCTAACTGCTATTGCTAACTGCTATTGCTATTGCATCAGTCTGAAGTTAGGACGACTAAATGGAGCTGAGCATTTACTGGCTGGATGCCCTTCCTGATGCCTACATGTAATTCACAGCAAATCAGTGGTGGGATTCAAATAATTTACCAACCAGTTCTCTGCCCTAATTACCAGCTGGGTAGGTGGGGCTCGGTGGTCATGTGATCATGTGGGTGTGGCCAAATCAATGTCACTCAGGTTGATGGGTACTTCGCATTAGTTGTTACAATGGTATTAAGGGTTAACCGGAGGGCAGTTTCTGTAAGCAGGGCAATAAAGATTAGGCTAGAAAGAACACCAGAATGTTTCCTTCCTGCCTTCCTTACAGGATTAGCCCTGGAAAGTGGATGGAAACAAAAGATTTCTTCCAACAACCAGTTCTCTGAACTGCATAGAAAGTTACCAACCAGTTCTCCCGAACAGGTGCGAACTGGCTGAATCCCACCACTGCAACAGATATATTCCTTTTGCGCCCGGAGAGAGAAATATCTGCCACTATCTCGGATCAAACTCACAGCCTCCTGATTGGGAGGTGAGAGCGCCACCTCTAGGCCACCACTCTGCTCCTTTCGAATTAATCCTTAAAACCATTTTAATCCATAGGCTCCTCTTAATCCATTGGATTGTAGATAGATTAAGTAGGTAATAAATTCACACTGAGGCACAACTGTTGTTCTGTAAGGTACATTGGTTAAGTCATGTTACTTTATTTGCAAAAAGAAGCTTTTGTATAGTCGGAATCAGATAAAGGTTCAACACCAAGTAAAAAGAATCATTTGAGTCGGCAATGATATCCTTGATGAAAAGTCTGGGCAGAGACCATCTGGACTGGGGATGGTGGGTTTTTAATACTATAAAGAAGAAAATAAAACATCCTTAAGAGTTTGAATACCATGAGACTCTCAATAAGCACTCATCACCATTATCAATAAGATCTACCCATAATGATTAATTTCTCATTTATAGAGAAGGAAGCACTTGGTAACAAGTGGAGATAACAATTAGAACATTACGATTGTGCAGAGTTTATAGCCTGAAGTTGTTGATGCTGGAGACAAATGGCTCCATATCTGATTGGGAACTTCCCGCTAGAAGCAGAATTCTAATACCTGATCGGTTTCAACAAGGAAATTGTTCTATTTGTCTGTGCTGCTCCCTCATCCCCAGCCCTGGTTCTATCACAAAATGAATTTTATTTCAGGCAAAATCAGCTGCCTAATTCATGATTGATCCCATGATTGGCCGAAAGGGATTTTGGCCAGAGTTGGAAACCAGGTTCTTACCAGTAGAAAACTACATAATAGAATTAAGCTTTTCATAGAGACGTTCAGAATTATACAAACTTACAAAGATTTCGGGTCCATTATAGGTATTCTACAATACAAAAATAAATACAGAAAAGTGAGAAAAAAAATCAGGACATTGTTTTTTGGTTGATTTAAAAAATCCTATCTAAGGTGCAGTCAGTGGTAGGATCCTAAATTATTAACAACCAATTATCTGCCCAGTTGCTGGGTGGGTGTGGGAATGGTGGGCATGGCCTACTTGGCCTCCTGCACCATGGTGGGGAGATTTTTCACCCTCCCCAGGCTCCTGTGGGCTCCAGAGCTCCTTCAAAAGCTGGAAACAGGCCCGTTTTCAGACTTCTGGAAGGCACGATTTTTGCCCGCTCAGGCCCTCCGTGCGGCCCCTGCACATACCTGGCATTAAAAACGGGCTGTGTGGAGACTCCTGGGAGGGGTGGGGCCAGGTGGACAGACAAAGTGGGTCTTTCCAACTCCCTGTTTTCCCGAACCAGTGTGAACTGGCTGAATCCCACCACTGGGAGCAAGGGTGTCAAACTCCCGGCCCGTAGAGTGATCCCACTCTATCGATCGGTACTCTCCATGTCTTGCACCACCTCCTTCAGATCTGCCATGGTCATCTTTTGTAGTGTTCAGCCAGTGGTGGGTTTCAATTTTTTTTAGAACCTCTTCTATAGGTGTGGCCTGCTTTGTGAGAGTGGCTTGCCAGCCATGTAACCAGGTGGGAGCAACTTGCCAGCCATGTGACCGAGTGGTAGTGGCTTGGCAGTCATGTGACTTAGTGGGAGTGGCTTGGCAGTCATG